ATCATTGGCTTCAATCCCTGATCACAGTCTGTTTGTAAAAATAATTTTATCATCAGTTATTTGGAATTTAGACAGCTTCCTTCATTACATTTTCTTAACTTTGGTGGTTACATATTTTTATTTGTAGACATGTATTGGATGATGGCACTGATGAGTACAAGATTATCATGCTGAATAAAAGATACTTGAGTTTTAGATTAATCAAGGTAAGACTAAATTTAGTCATTTCATTAGCTCACTGACTCTATTGAGTGAAAAAGGTGTTACCGGTAATTCTTGATACATATCACAACCCACTTGTAGTTACACCATTTGATGATGATTTGAGTCTATATTAATTTAGTTTTCACTGGCAATATATATCTATAATAAGCTTTTTTTCCTAATTTTCTCAACTATGTGAATGTTCTAACAGGTAAACAGAGAATGTGTGCGAGGTTTGTGGGCAGGACAACAACAGGAACTGGTTTTCCTCAGGAATCGTAATCCAGAACGTGGTAGCATACAAAATGCAAAACAGGCACTGCGGAACATGATCAATTCATCATGCGATCAGCCAATTGGTTATCCAATATATGTATCACCGCTAACAACATCCTACTCAGAAACCAATCAACAGTTATGTGGTGTTTCCGGTGGCTCTATCAGCTTCAAAGGAATACAAGACTGTATTATCCGACACTGGTCAAGGTATGAATCGCTTTCTCATTTAGGAATTTTCTGCTTTCTGTTGATAAGACAATTTAGCTGGAAATGAAGAATAGTTTAATATATTATGTGTGTTGGTAATAAGAGTTGTGTTTACACATTAGGTTACTAGAACGTTGTGGTGCCGGTTGCAGTAGTGGTGGTATTTCACAAGACACTGGTGGGGATACTATACCACAGAACGTTTCTTCCACTGTCGCTATTACAGGTCAGTATGAAGTGTCTTCATCCACTGTTTGTCTGCAATGTGCTTTTTATGCAATTTTCTATGCTGGTGTTTATTACCTACTTTTGTTTACTTTTCACAAAATTTATCATAGTTTATTCATTTTTGTTGATCAAGACTCAAGGTAATGGGAGAGTATATTTATTTAATCCAAAAGAAAGAAAAATGTTCACCAAAAATGTACCTTTTTGTAGTTATATTATTTTCTCATTTCAGTGAACAAATTTTGATTAACAAACAATTTTAAGGTTTGCAATAATTCTTAAATTGATGTGTCAATATCATCATTTCGCAGACCTCCATCATGGATTCCCATCACATTCTTCTAGCATTAAAACATCAGACGATACAATTCGTATTCCAACTCAAGAAATTCAAATGCAACAACTTGGTCAGTTAACTGGTAGCATGAGCTCAGCAACAGGTTCCATGTTATTGACTGGCAATAAACGTAACAGTGCAGCATTGTTGTATATAGCTGGACTTTATCCAAGTCAAACCAGTGAACCCATTCTCCAAAGAGTCAAGGTATTTGTCTGCATGTTAATTAATAACCATATTTACTCTCTCCAATATACTATATAATATACCGGTTATTAGTTCTTGTTTGTACATCCTATCATACATATGCACAAACATTCATTTTATAATCTGGTTTAAGATGGCCAAATGGCAGCTATTTTGATGTTGAAAAAATCATACTTTTTTCTTCATTCCATAACTGGATCTCAGTCATGTATGGATGGGTTTTGTTAGTCCCCGTTCAGACGCAGTCCGAAAACGGGGACTTATGTTTTGACCTCCGTGTGTCTGTGCGTGCGTCTGTGCGTCTGTGCGTCTGTGCGTGCGTCCGGACCTGTATATTAGAAATGCCTGGACCAATCACAATCAAACTTCACACATACATCACACATGATATTATACATATGCACGTCAATTTGTTTCACGATCTGATTTAAGATGGCGGCCATTTTTGTGCTAAAAATCATCAAAATCAAGCATTTCCCAGCTGTTTATAGATGGATTTTGTTCAAACCTTGTATATACGTTGGACATTATAGGACCTTGATGCACAACATGTTGTTTTACGATCTGATTTAAGATGGTCGAATGGCGTCCATTTTCGTGCTGAAAAATCCTAAAAATCCAGC